GGATCAAGAGGAATAAAGTTACTTATTTTTAAGTATATAAATTTCCTCAATTTCCTGCTTGTCTGGCCATCAATTGCTTTATTCAGTATGATTTCAGTGGCCTTTCAGCTGGAGAAATTCCATCAATTTCTGGCAGTAGGCTGGTTCTGGCTTTAGGATGATTCAAGAATATTGTGATTTTTTTTTTTTTTATCTTTCTGTTCTTGCTTGAGTATTTTAATAAAAATTGGAGAAGCTACATTATGATTACCAACCAAATGTTATTTTAATTTTTTTATTGTTGACTTCTATGTAGTACTTAGCATCCTGTAAAATTGAAATCTTCTTGCTTCTCCCTATCTGAAGAGGAGAATGCTGTAGGGAGCCTAATGTTAATAATCCAGATTTGTAGTGATAAAGAGGGAAATGCATTTTTTTTTATTGTGGAAAGAAATGATTCAGCAAAGAGCAGCTAACCCCAAGAATCTTCTGGGCTACTAGTCCTGCAAAGTAGCACTCTCTTGGTACCTTCCCAGGTAGGACCAATCAGTATATAACCCGCAGATGCTTTGTTTGTTTATTTGAGGGTCAGCTTTGTGCAAGTACTGGTCAAGGTGATGAGGATGAGAAACAGTAAGATGTGATCCCTAGTCATAAATGAGTTTATAGTCAATCTCCCTGGAGAGAAAGGATTTACTTAAGATTCACAGTAATATCACATCTTAAGCATGCAATAAATGGTTTAATTGATAAGTACGGCAGGACGTAAAGGAAAGGCTGCTCGCTGCGGGCCACTGGACAAACATCATAATGGAAAGAATATGTGAGTTAAGGTCAGGCAAGACAGGAGTCCTCAGTTAAATTAAGGAAGGACACTAGAGGGAAACTATAAACAAACACTAGGCACAGGAAAGTGTGTAGGATATTCACAGGACAGTAAGCAGAAGAGTTTAGAAAGTAGACAGGAGGTATATAAAGGAACGGTGATAGTCAAATTTGGTCACATAAGTGAATGGCAGTAAGTTCAGCCAGATTGTAGGGTCTGTAAATGCCAGGCTAATGTAAAGATAATAAATCTCCAGAAATGTAGAATCATACTTAAACTGATCCCTAATTAAAGCATTTAAGGTTTTAAAATTTTTATTGTAAAGTTCTCTTTATTGTCTGAGATTTTGGTTGACTTTTTGCTTTTTCTAAAATACACATAAAGTGAAACAATGTATTATGGGGTCTCTTAGGATGTTGTTTAATACTGACTTATGATACTTATGAAGCTAAATCTTTTTTTCAGTTACAAATACTCATTTAATTTCTATTTAAGAGTCAAATAGTTTTGACCTGCTCTCTCAGATGAAGGTTTTGAAAATTTTGTCAACTATCAATAAATCAACACCAACTATTTAATGAATGAGTAAATGGATAAACATCATTAGCTATTACTTTGCTCAAGTTACAAACTAATTATAGCACTTAACTCATTGCACTGTGGCTTTTAGTTGAAAGGAGGATACTGAGCCAGAAACAAATAATCACCACTCATTAAGTCAGTGCTTTAATGCATGAACCTGCCATGTGCTGTAGAAATACAAGGAAAGACATGATGGAAAATGTCTAAAGATTTGTAGAAAATCATCATGGAATAATTGACATTGCGAGATCAGGAAGGGTGACTAGAAGCTCAACAGCAGAATAAAGGAAGGAAGCTATACTAGACAGAAGAAATATCAAGATGAAAAACAAGGAATCCAGAAACATCTATGGTATGTTTTAAAAAAGAAATCAGGCAGCTCTGTGTGGTTGAAGTGTCAGATTCATGGCAAGATGTCATGAGAGATGAAATTGAAAAGATAGTTTGGTGCCAGACTGTGAAGACTTTAAAACCACTTTTTGAATGAGTATATAAATAAGTTTTTAAATGGTTTTTATAACAAAATATTAATAGTACTAATTTCTGGGGTATTTAGAATGATTTGATAGTTATCTAGTTGTGTTCGTGGATTGAGACCAGCCAAGTGTCCTCCATCTTCTCTCCCCCTTTCTAATAGTACTTGTATTAGAAAAATCATAATTTTATAGAAAATATAAATTATAGGTTCTGGATTGAGTATAATGGAATGTATAGAATCTAGAGACTGGATTTCCTATGGTTTCAAGGTCCTAGATATTTGATGTTGTATCACTCAGTATAGGCTGGATTAAGCTAAAATAACCAATGACCCTAAAATCTCAGTGGCTTAAAATGACTGACGCTACATATTCATTGAAAGAGGATCATATGGGGAAGGGAGGGAAAACTGAATGGGAAGAAATCAGAGAGGGAGACAAACCACGAGAGACTCTTGACTCTGGGCAACAAACTGAGGGTTGCAGAAGGGGAGGTGGGTGAGGATATAGGGTAACTGGGTGATGGGCATTAAGGAGGACACGTGATGTGATGAGCACTGGGTGTTATACGCAACTAATGAATCAATGAACACTACATCAAAAACTAATGATGTACTATATGTTGGCTAATTGAATTTAAATAAAAAAGTAAAAGAGAAAAAAAGTTAGCTCTAGCACTGCCCCATAACGTCTTTATTTCATGACCCAAGCTGATAAGAACTGCTATCTGGAACAATGCTTATCCTATGGCAGAGGGAAAAGAGACCATGTTAAAGTCCGAGCTGGTCTTTAAAGCTTCCAACAAGAAGTGACATGCATCACTATGCATACCTTGCACTGGGCAAAGCAGATTCCCTTGACAGCCTGTCCTCCTAGAGAAAGGCAGGAGATCTGTGGCCTGCCACAAGTCCAAACTACAGCCCTAACCCACGTGCAAAAGCTATCCTGAAATTTGAGGCTTCTTGAAAATTCATTCATATTTTGTATTTGAATGGAGTCTTCAAATTAAGGTCCCTAATTGGCTGATTTGCAAGACAGACATTTCTGCTATTAAATAGAAATGTATCTTTAAAATTTATTTAAAGTTGCAAAACTAACTCTTCTTCTCCCCCCCACCCCCGCCCCTTTGCCAATGTTCATAAAATAGCTGTGCGCCAGGGCACAGTGCTAGATGCTTTCGAATACATTATCTCATTTAATTTGCAGAACTGTGCAATATAT